AAAAAAAAATCGGATTTTAATTTAAAATTTTGCTAATTTAAATACATATTAAATATTTATTAATTTATATTTTTCAAAAACACAATTTTTTTCTAAAAGCACGTTAAGTAAGCTCTAATTTTCAATTGCATTTACTAATTTATCGTTTTTCTTTCCAAACTTATAGCGAAAATTGTGAAATAAGACCTTTTTTTCCAAAATACAAAAAAGCCCATAAAAGATTAATCAAAAATTTTTTTTTATTATTTTTTTTTTTAAATTATGTTTTTTTATGTATTTATGAATAACCATCAATAAAAAATAATAATATTTTAAAATTACGGCTTCCCTGAATTAATCGCCACTTTGCATACCGTTCAACCCACTGTGCGTCGGTTGTTGTGGGAAGCGCAGTGAAGGTGTTTTCAGTAAACTCCGCGTAACCATTCCGATAAGCTTTATAAAGTTGATATGGTTTGGTGTTTAGCGGAGGCATAGTCGGTTGGTTTATCTATCGAGATGACTCTGGGTAGCTGGTCTGATGCTAAAGTCAGCATAGGACGCCATGTTATGCTGTTTATCAGACGAGCGCTGACTATGGTGATGTCTGGCGAGCTGCTGCAGTTACGCATAATCCTGGTGGGTGCGTCGTCGTTCATTGTGCAGAATGTCGAATCGTCTATCTGCTTAGCCAATTCTGTTCTCCTACGATCGTTTGACAGGCTTGAATGCCAAAAATCGTGATGCGCATTAAAGTCACCTACTACCATACGGTTTTCACCTCTGAGGAGCGCACCTATATCAGGGAGATACCCTGCCGGGCAGCAGGTGACAGGGGGTATGTATATGTTAAATATTTCGAGCTCGACATCGCCTAACCGGATAGCAATGCCCTGACATTCTAGGGTGGTATCCCTGCGGTCGATGTCTGCTTCGATAAGACGATACTGCACGGTGTGGTGCGTAATGAACGCTAAGCCACCACCATTATCTCGCTCGCGATCTCGATGGGGCACGTTGTACCCGGCACAATTCAACAATGTTGAATTGCTGTGCAACTTCGTCTCTTGGACCGCAGCTATCAATATACCATGCCGACACATAAAGACGGTTATCTCCTCAATCTTGCTCTGTAGCCCAATACAGTTAAATTGAAGGAGCTTCATGTGGTTCGGGAGACGTGTTGTGATGTGGGGTGTAAGGGATGTGTGTGTTCTTACTGCCGTTGGCTGTGTGCTGCTGTGATGGCTGCCGCCCTGTGGTGGTGGTGGGCAGCGTCGCAATTGACGGTTGCGACCGTGCAGCGCAGCACGGGCCCTCGAAGTTCCTCGTCCAATCTCGCGTGCTGCGCAGACCTGAACATGCCCTAAAGTGGCACCAGCCAAGGCAGGTGTTGCACTTGACTGATGCCGCATTACGGAATATCCTGGTCTGGCATACCGTGCAGATTGTGGGAGGAACCAGGAGTGGTTGACGGCGGCGTGTGGGTGGTGGTGTGGATGAATGTGGTCTGTGGTCTGTCGTGGTTGTGTGGTCTATTGTGTTGTTGTGTTGTGGTGCTGTGGTGTTAGTGTGGATCTGCTCAGGAGGACTTATATTTGCCGTGGAGGCTGCTCTATTTGAGCAGCAGGGGGCCATGAACGACGTGGTCCACTGCCGGTGTATTCGTAGTCCTGAGCAGACTCTGAGGTGACTCCGCCCCTCGCAAGCATTAAACTTGACTGAGGTGGAGTTGTGGTGTAGTTGTCTCTGGCATACACAGCAGGTATAGGTTTCTGGCCCTGGGTTTGAATACGTAGCAAATGTAGCTCTATGGACGATCAGCTTCTGAGACACTTCGCCCACCTAAACGGGGTTAGATCGCCGAAACTACAGCCCTGGGTCGGGTAAAACCCAAGTCATTCCGGTACGTAGAACCGGCTGTCGTGGGAATGAGCAGTCGTCGAGTTGTATGGTAAACAATCTCTTTCACATTTAAAGATGCATAAGTTTCGTTTACATCTATGGCACTTTCTGGTGGAAAACATTCTTGCTTAGCCCTTTGCAAAACGTTTTTTGAGGGTATAAATTTTGTCCAGCAGCAATCACCTGTTTTCGTAAAACTAAATAGCTATTTCGCGACAATTTGGCATCGACATACAAAGCAAGTGCTTCTTCACCTGTGTACATTCGTTTGGATTTGTACTTCTGTAAATTCTTGTATTGCATTGCAATTTCGTGAGATTCGCTTACACTTTGCATTAGTTTGGCTGCTACACGAAATTTGAGCGATTAAACATATGAGCTGCATCAACAACTCTGCATCAGATCGTGACTGAAGAAGATCACGTACTTTGTTACGTTTCGCTCTGTCGTCGCAACTTTCAAATCTTTTTGTAGGCCTTCCACGCTTAGAAGTGGAACGTAACTCATCTTTCATATTCTGTTCAGGTTGTTTATCACAATTAACTTCCGCCAAAACAAAGTCGTTTTTAAGCCAGGGCTCATATTTTTCTAAGAATCTACAACAAAACGTGCCATTACCAACTGATAAAAAAATCTCAGAACAAAGCTCTAACATTTCTTTACGGTTAACAGCTGTGATCCACTTGTTGCTGATTTCATTCCAATGAAAGCAATTTTTAATTGAATTTTTCGCTTCATTTCATTACCCAAGTCTGAAATGTTAGCTTTTTCAAATATTCGCGAACACAATTGAGTGACTCGTTCCTTTTTTATTGCGTTCCTTTTANGGTGCCATTACCAACTGATAAAAAAATCTCAGAACAAAGCTCTAACATTTCTTTACGGTTAACAGCTGTGATCCACTTGTTGCTGATTGCATTACAAATGAAAGCAATTTTTAATTGAATTTTTCGCTTCATTTCATTATCCAAGTCTGAAATGTTAGCTTTTTCAAATGTTCGCGAACACAATTGAGTGACTCGTTCCTTTTTTATTGCGTTCCTTTTATTAGCTCGGGATGTAACTATGTAATACTGGGCACGTTCAGAAGGTGCAACAGCTCAATAACTGTTGCCATTGCACCTTCTGAACGCGTTGTTGTGTACTTCTGATCAACTGAACAGTTGCGTGTTAGACAATTGTAATATTTTTCTGATCATTAGAAACAACATGTTGTTGAGAGTTGAATTTGACAGCTAATGCATCAAGCCGTTCAGAAGACGCATAACGGTTGCGCTCAACTGCTGCGCCTTCTGAACCTACCCTTTGATGGGCCTAAAAGATGCAGCGATTTTTATTATCAAGTTACATACCTGATGACAGTATGAATGGAAATTATAACAGCGAGGTTTTAGTTTTTTAAACTATAATTTTTTTATTGATGTAGCACACCACATCTCGAAAAACTCCATGCGTGAAAACGAAGTTATTATTTTTCCATTTTTTTCCATTGCGTTTCTTTATTTAACTTTCACTTCTAATCGCATCGAAATTGTATTAGCGAAAATAACAAAACAGAATTTATACAAAGCCAACTTATACATAAAAAAAATAATAACTGAGGTGAACTACAAATCTAATTGCTTGGTATTAGCCAAGTAAAGTTAGGTTAATTAAGCTTAAAATAATTCGCATAAAGTTGGAAATTGGAACGAATGTTGTGGACACCATTATAAATGAATATAGCTCTCAGATATGCCGCTTCAAAATTGTGGTAAAAGGTGTGTACTGCATAATATACAAATCATAAAGTTTTATAGAAACTTTTTGTATGTCTCTCTACTTAAGTGCTGTTAACTTCTATATTTGTTATCCAATTTAGATGTGCATGGTCTTTTTTTTGTTTTTTTTTATGTATGTTATGAAGTCGGTTTTTTTGCTAAAAATTACTTTAATTTTTACCGAAAGTATTGCTTTTATTATTTTTTTTGTTATGCAAAATTTTCGATATATGTATCAATGGTTATCTTCTAAACTATGAATCGGGTTGGAAAACATTGTTTACATAGAAGATATCAAAACTAATGAGCTTACTTATCTCTCGACTGACACTCCAGACCCTTGTCGACTGTTTGAGTACCGCGAGCAACATGAATACTTATTCCTTTCACGGAGTATGAAATAATTTATTAAATAATTTTTAAGAAAAAACTTTCTTGATTTGAACAAACGTTTTCTTATTTACTTTAATGTATATGAAGACTGAATCAAGAAAGTATTTTCTTGTTTATTTTCAAGTTATATTTTCTTGATAAAAAGAATTTATTTGTTTTAAGAAAAATTGCAAATGCATATACTGTTTTTATAGACTTATTATTTACCGTATTGGCAATTTTCCCTCGCTTTTCCGTTCATAAATTTTTGATGTAATAACGTCACGTGCAAATCCAAAATCCGCAATTTTACAGGTGTGATCATCCGTGATGAGAATGTTCCTTGCAGCTAAATCTCGATGAATTATCTGCAAACATAGAAAAGATAAATAATATGAAAGTCTATATATGTAAATACTTATGTATATGAGCCATTCTTTTTTAAGTCGGACGGATTTCGTAAAAAACTATGTCATGTCTCCGATCCGCTTCAAACTTTTTTTATGGGTTCTATACGTAAAATAAGCGAACATGTATTCGGAGATATCATCTGTCAAAGTTTGGATTTTTTCGTGATTCTGACTAATCGCGTACTTCTTCAAATTGTTATCTCTCGGGTACTGCTTATCACAGAGACTTCATCTTAACGTCGTTTTAAAGCTAAAGAATCGCGCTTAACATTTCTATATATAAGATGGTCAAGATTGTCCTAAAGCTAACTTAGCTACTACTAGTTNTCTGCTTATCACAGAGACTTCATCTTAACGTCGTTTTAAAGCTAAAGAACCGCGCTTAACATTTCAATATATAAGATGGTCAAGATTGTCCTAAAGCTAACTTAGCTACTACTAGTTGAACGTTTGGAAGTTGATTTGCATAGTAAAGACCATTCAATTAGGGATTTAAAACTACAACATCGCAATCCTTGTTTAATTCGCTACAAAACATACTTCAAAAAATGGGCATTTGTAAAGAACTATTTTTAAAATATTTAGTTTTATGACAAGGTGATTTTTTTTTGAGAGTCAACAATTTTTTGTAAATTGTTTTCGAAAACTTATGAGAGGTTTTTTTAGCAAGGTGTTACAAATCGTTTTTTTTTGCAAAAATTAAAGTTTTATTGCGGATTCCGCTAGAACACCTATCCAGATATAATATTTGTATGGCAAGATTTTTCTTTAAGGCGAAAAAACCCCTAGAAATGGACGTGGCAATTGTAGAACTTAAGTTACCAAAACGCAGATTTTATTGCGGATTTCGGCAGAATATATCTTTGTTAACAACATACGCAATATAGATATTGTACCGAAATCCACAATAAAATCTAATTTTTAGAACTTTGGTTTTAAAATTGCCATACCCATTCTTGAAGATTCTTTGATTGAAAAATTTAAGAAACAAATTGTCTTAAGCAAAATAATTTAAAAACAGTTCGTGAAAAACGCCCTTTTTTTGAAACATGTTTTTTTTATAGAAAATTAAACAAGGATTACGATGGCATAATTTGAAATCCCTAATTTACTGGTCTTCACTGTGCAAATCAAATTCTAAAAGTTCAACTGGTAATAGCTAAGTTAGCTTTAGGACAATCTTGACCATCTTATATATATAAATGTTAAGCCCGTTTCTTTAGCTTTAAAATGGCGTTAAGATTAAATTATCCCAGTAGATAATCTAGGAGTTAAAATCCTTTCCGAAAGGCCTTCCTGAGAGTCAAGAGGCCTTTCACTCTACATACCTTTCTTCTTTATTTTTTGCATGGAGTGGCACAAATTGAAGGGCTTCTTCTTTCGCCACCCATGGAAGGCCTTCCAGAAGGGCTTTTATAGGACGTAATTCTGAAGGTCTTTTGGTACAGTTCTTTTAAAGTGTCTTTAATTTATAAAGGTTTATATAAAATATGTGTTATTGCAACCTAAAATGTTTATTGAAATTCATGTGTTATACTAAATAATATACTTTTATGCATTCGCGTTAATTGTAAATGGATAAGTCCTTCTAGACGACATGAAAGGAAGCACTTTTCTCAGCCCTTCTTGGGTAGACCTCTTTGAATGGCTTTACTTAAGAAGGCCTGCCTAAATTATTTTCTGAGATAAGTTTGAATATATGCACGTGTGTATTGTAATGGTGCCCTTATATTTACAAATCCCAATTGCACTGGGTTCTGCTGAAGGTCGACATTAAAAAAATATGCATAATGTATAAAGTGGTTGATTGACTGCCGAGCCATTCATTATTGGTGGTATTTTGTTTTTAAGGTGCTGATGAGTGAAAGCGCGCACTGCTTAGCACTACACCACAGCGGCCGGTAAATTCTTCGCGATAAAAAATTGTGTTCATTGCTTCCTCACTCTCGAAAGGTGACAAAACATACCTGATGTATGTAAATCGTGGTATCAGCTACAAATTACTTCTCGAATTTTTATATTTCCTCGGTTCAATGGCCCAGTCAAGTTAGCTCAAAAAATAGGGTAAGCTTATAATAACTCGCATAAAGCTGAAAATTGGTACGCATGTCGCGAACACTATTATAAATGAAATGTTAAAAATCCCCACCGATCCCACGTCTGCAAAAAAAGTTATTCAAGGTTGAAGATTACATAAATCAATATTTTGAATTTTCCTGCAAAACGGTAAGGTTTTTTCATAAGAATGGGTGTGACGGAATCTACACCATACAATTATCTATAAAAACTGGTATAACATTTTTATTCCTATGGATTACTATCTCTGAGATAAAGCGAATCAAAATTGTAGTAAAAGGTTTGTGCTTTATAATATACAACCCAGCCATCATCGTAAACGAGCTCGTAACTGAATATTTTCTCGAAGGAAAACCGGCTAAGAAGTCGTATATGATAGCCGTTTACGATTCGTTTTCGAGTACTTTTTCGCTTGAAATTGTCGAGGGCCTGCGAACAGCCGTAAACGGATCGAAAAAGAATTCGTATGCGAATATTATATATTAGGGCTGTGCGATTATTCGATTACTCGAGCAAGTTGGTTAATCAATTATTCGGTTAATCAATTACTCGAGTAATCACGATTTTGATTACTCAAAACGATGATTAATCGAATTACTTGAAATATGATTACTCAAAAAAATAATTTTGCTCGTTAAAAGAGTTTGCTTTGGAAAATTCTTATTTTTTTTTTACATTCCGTATATGAAAAAAAAGTTTCGTTTTAATTTTTGAAAACAGAAACGTTGTTTTCAACGTATCAAGGAACTTTAACTATTTTATACATATGTAAAGAGTTGAAATGTTGATTACTCATTTTACTCGAAATGTTGATTAATCATAAGGCAAATTACTCAAATATTTTTGTTTTTGGTTAATCAAAAATCTTGATTACTCGAGTAACTGAACTTTTGAGTAATCATAACTTCTAATTAATCGAATAACTGAGTTATTTACTTAATGATTAATTAAAATTTTGAGTAATCAATTAATCGCACAGCCCTATTATATATTATTAAATATTGTGGTTCAAGAAAAATTTCCAACAGAATTAAAATTTTTTCTTGTGCTGACAAATTACTCAAGCCTCTTTCTTTTACTTTTTTGTTTTATCGTTTACGAGCTTTTCTCTAACTTTTCGCCGATCGAGAATCTCTCGTAAGACATAATGTTCGTTAAATGTAAGATTTATTGCTGGCTGGGAAGTCATAAATTTGTATAGAAACTTTCTGTATGTATCTCCACTTAAGTGTTGATAACTTCTTATCAATTAAGATAAGCGGGCCTTATTGTATTAAATGAAGAATCATGCTTTGACGTGCAAGAATTCAAGAATTAACAGGTTCATGTTGATATTTATACCGCATTTTACTTTTATTATTATTATAATTTTTTTAGTTATGCAAAATTGTCGACGAATCAATGATTAGCTCCTAAACTACTAATCTGTTTGGAAAGTATTGTGTATGCAGAAGATAGTAAATTTAATTTTCTGCATTACTATAGAAAGGAATTAGATCGGCCAGGTATATAAAAGAAAATATTGCAATTTATTATATTTTGACCACATATTCAGATTCAGCCGAAAAATTTACATGACAAGTAACCCCCATTTTTCTCCATGAGTATGCGATTCATTTCATATACCTCCATACCAGCTTCATGAACTTCCAGAGATATGCAGTATGAAAAAATAGCTCCCATTTTCCTCCATGAGTATGGTATTAATTTTATAAATCGCCATACCAAGTTGCAGTACTCTACCACGAATACTTCCAGAGATATGCAGTTTCAAAAACTCGGTTTATATATCTAAATATTTTTCAGCCATCCTTGGAAGTACTGCAGTAGGTGTCCAAAATTTAAAAAAAAATCGGTGGAACCTTTCTCGCGATGTGCGAACAGAAAAAACGCTTTCAAAATGTATACATATTAGTATAGATTTACTTTGTAACGCCATCTTGCGGTTCCTTAAATAAGATAGAGATATCAATAATTAATTCTTCGTATAAAAAATCCCCAAATAAAAATTTGTATTAAAAGAAAACATTCGAGACACGTTAGTAAATATTAATCTGCAAATTAACTTAGTATCAATTAAAGATACATATCTTCTTTTAAAATTGCGCAGTGCTCGATCTGAAACTTTGCACAAACTTTACAGATTTAAGATTCACTAAAACATTTTCGAAATATTGCGTCCAGCGGGACATAAGAGAATGAAAAATTGTTCCATTTATTCGCCTTCGTCTCTGTTTTTGTTTCGTATAGATAAAAGCATTGCTACGTTCGTGTGCATGTGGGCAAAATGTTCCCTTTGTCTCTGTACATCAGTGTTGCCGCTAATAATTTTTAGTGGTAGCCCAATTCCTTTAAATAAAGTCCTAAAAAGAGCTAAAAAGTCGTTGTGGCTAAAAATGGTAGCTAAAATTTGTTACTTACATTAACATTAGGGCGGGTCAAATTTTTTGCATCAGAGGCACATCGCGGCGATGGTTATTTGGGTCATTTCAAGGATTTTTCCCCAAGAAACCATAGGTATAAAATGAACTTCGAGCCAGCGATTTGTTCTATCTAGTTTTTTTTTCAAAAAGTGGCTCACCTTTTGAAACAGGTGCATTGAAAACTATCCAAAATGTGTTTTTGGGGTCAAGGGATCCATTTATGGTATTAACTTTTTCTTTTGAGGGCCGCCAGATGGCGCTTCCTAACTTTTTTTTGGATTCTAACGCCTTTTTTCCGAAAATCGACAACATTGTTGCGAAAATCCCGGAAATTCGACTTTCTGATAATGCAATTTAAATTATTAAATAGCCTAAAGTATTCAGCGTTGAAATTTTATTTATTAATTTTTTTTTTATTTTTTATATATTTATATTTTTTTCATTTTACAAATTAAAATA